AGTGTTCATTGGGTTGACCCCTAACGGAAACAGCCGAAAGAGGAAGAAGACAGAACTGAGGCAGCCCCCTGCAGCGCCAACTCTAACCATCAGGGGCGTTCAGTGTCTTGCCCAAGGACACTTCAACACATGGACTGCAGGCACCAAGACTTGAACCTTTAACCTTCTGGTTAAGAGACAATTCCTCCACCCACTGCACTATTTCAGCTTCTAGCCCAAAGTGGTGGACCAACTGGCACATGAAGCGTCTTTAGGGACACTAAACCCTACATTTCTCCCAATGGCCAGGCCAGCACCTTATGTGGTAGCTCTCTGCCATCAGTGTATGTGTGTGGGTGTGTGTGTGTGTGTGTGTGGGATTGACAAAATGAGGAACAAAATGTAAAGCAGTTTTGATTAAAGCATGATGTAAATGCAAATCAGCCTTCCATCCATTCAGCCTGCCATATGTGAATATGTCCATAGCAGGTTTGGGGCCAACTTACCTGCTTCCTCTGCATTCTGTTTTGCTTGCTGTGCTTTAGAGTGGAGCTGAAAGATGAGAAAATAAGCACACAAGTACCAACTGTTTACCTGTAGGTGCAAGGCTAACACATAACAAGGAACAAATAGAGATAACTGATCATAAGGTCTTAACACTGTCAGCCTGGTGCCTCTGAAATGTAACTGAGCTGATATACACAGGTGCAGGAAGTTGCACAGAGATAAAAAAAAAGAAGTCATGTTTATTGTGCAGGCACTAAAGTTTTATTAGATGCCATAGCTCGATCAGTGTCAAATCTATGTCACCAAGACTCGGAGGACATATATCACTGTCTCGTACAAAAATGGTGCGAGACAAAACAATGAATACTTGTTTGACACTAGGATGACAAAACAAGTTCCTAACTTTACCTCAAACGGTACAAAAGCTATAGATGATCAAAATCTACTCTGAAGTGTACAACACTACAAGATTACTTGGTCAGTCAGCACTATACTATTCATAAGTCTTCTACCACGACCTCTAGCAGGTTGTTCACCGTCTTATATTATTACTTCTGATGCAAAAATTCGCTTTCCAACACTGTCATTTACTTTAACTGGGCTGCAACTACCAACTTTTATCATTGTTGATTAATCTTTAGAGTGTTTAGGCTTAAAATATCATAAAATAATGACAAATGTTTCAGAGCCCAATGTGATACTTAAATTGCTTGTTTTCAAACCATTTACAGCCAAATAAAACAAAATGGCTAATCCATAAGCATTAAACTGTGCATAGTTTATGTTACATCTTTTTCATACTCCTCTATCAGTGGGAAGCTCCACTGTACCTTCTCTATGTGCTTGGTGTTGTTGGCGTTTCGGTTTACATTCTGATCCGCTTCTTCTTTCTCTCGACACTTCTGCTCGTATATCTTCTTTGACTGGGGATAGCACAGAAGTTGGCATCAGGACTTTTTAAAAGCATCATTAGAAACAGTTGGGATACAACCACAAAAGCTGTAACAGGACAAAAGAGGTAGAATACGATGACAAAGATCCAGTAGTCCTAGGCAGAAATGTCAGTAGATTTAAACACAGTACTCTATTTCTAGGCTGCTTTAACCTACTGACCATAAAGTTCTGTTGTTGCTACCAGACAATTTTTCCTTCATTAGAATAGTACGTGATGAGTACTTCTCCTTTTGTCTATGATTTTCATCGTGTTCACTTCCCAGACTAGATGGCAAAACTTCCCCCATCAAAGAGGAACAACACAACTGGAATAAGACATTTTCATTCACAGCACAACTGAAACTCATTGGACATGAGGCACAAATGAATGAGTGCCCCATTGTCACTTTGCTTAAAATACTTCTGATGTTCTGTTACTGTAAAGGTGGCACAGCGCAGGTCAATCACTGTGCATCACTGGAAAAAAAGGCAGAAATATTCTTGAGGGAAAGTTTGAAAGTGCCCTTATAGTAACTCATGTCATGCTGAGCCAATGATGATTAACTGTGCATGTCCTCTCCATTATTACTTACATCCATTGTCTTTTTGAACTGTGAAGACTTGTGTTTGTGCAGAGCATCCATCTGTTGTTCTATCTGAAATGACAAGGTCATATTTACTTATGTGTTGACAAGATGCCTCTGTGACTTCGGTGCATTACGGTGTTGATAAATCCGCCAACCTTTTTCCTCGCTTCTTTTTGTTTTTCTCTGAATTCTTCCAGTTTCTTGGCCTCGTCTCTCATGCTCTGCGCCAGTTGTAAGTGTGACAGACTTGCATTTTCAGTCTCTGTACAGTAAAGACATGGTTTGTTTCTACACAGAAAACATGAACTGAAACATACAAGAATGTGATCGAGAGTCAAAAATGTTAAGCACTTACGTAATTTGAACACATCCAGGGATCTTTTTAATGTGCTTAAAGAACAAAGGGAACAAAAATTATAGAGGGATTTCACAACATACATAATGCATCAAGACCTTTTAATTTCCGCTACACGGTATGTAAACAGGAAATTAAAGCATCCTATGGAGTTGTAGCCCTATCATGGTGCTTGAAATGCATTAAGAAGGTGCATTAAGAAGAAGACCTCTAGCAAGGCAACATGGATGAAAACAGAATTTACTTTTTTTTTTTAAATCAGCTTTATAAATATTTTATGAGTTAGATCATGGATTCATCACATTTGTTAGGCCTCAAAGCAGGGTTCACCATGTTACATTTAAAAGTGTTTACAGATCTATTCAATACCTCATAGAATGCAATTTAATATCCAGTTCATACTGGCCAAAGTATGAAAGTATGATTAAACACCAGTAGGATTAATAAGGCCTAGAATGATTCATTACTGTGTCACTTTTTTCCATTTTGACAAGAAACACTGCTTACAAAAAGCTCCACAGGGTACTTATAACTACAATTAAGTAAATAATGTTCCCCCTCTCACCCTCCCCCCACTAGTCTTCCTTCCTCTGGCCATGTCAAAACAGAAATAGCACAAAAAGACACACTGATTCTTTGTTCACCGACAGAATGTAACTCGACTTGCTGATACAGAGACACCATGCCATCTCTAATGTATAAAATCAGTCTATAAATCCATTACTAAGAAACTGCAGACTACAAAATAATACAAATCATTGTATTGCTTGAGGCTCAGTGTCAATAGATCTGTTCAAACGCTCAATAACGACACCTCAACACAGAGATTGCTTACTTCATCTCATTGTGTCCACACACCTTCTTGGACAAACCAAGGAGATCTTTGGCATACTTCTCTTCAATAGATGCTCTGAAAGAAACAACCAAAATCAGTGAGTGAACATTACCCACATCATGCGAATTCACATATTTACTATATTCTCAGTCTTTTCATGTTCCAGATCTACAGCTCCAAGGATTGTTATAACTTTGTTTTCCTGTGCTATTCCTACTGTGCCTTTGATTTTAATACTGTAAGTTACTGCTAATCATTCTGCAAACATTTGTGGCTTTAAAAAGCTGTTTCATTTTTACAAGGGGAACTATCAGTTATGTTATTACACAAGACCCTCCTTTGTTACATCCACATCACTGTTTTATTATGTTGCCACAATGGCCTGCTTATTCACTTTAATTCAATTACTGTACATTTATTTTTCAATACTTGTACTGGAGTCACTGGACTAAAATACCAAAGTGAACAGCAGGTAGAACTACTGTAGCTCCACTTCAATTACTACAACAGTCAAAATGCTGCTTACATGCTGATTCAGCTGTTATTCCACAGTATAAGTACTTTTACTTTTATTACATTAAGTACACCTTTTACATTATATAGTTTTACCTTTATTTAAATAAGATTTATAACTCGTGTTGGAGCACTTTTACATTGTTACTTTTACTTCAAGTAAAAGGTCAGAATACTTCTTTCACTACTGGAAATTCATTTCACAATTCATATAGTCCTGTTGTTGATATGACTCAGCTCTGTGACGTGTTCAAGTCATCTGACTGCAGACCTATGCAGTTTCCACAGAACCTCCCTGTTTTCACAAAAAGGAACTGAAATCTTACCTGGCAAGACTTAACATGTTCACCATTCCTGTACACTGCACGGTATTGAGTCTTGTACTGGAACGTAAGTAATAATGTTTGTCTGGCAGCTGGACGTGTGTGGTGTGTGTGTGTGTGTGTGTGTGTGTGTGTGTGTGGGCAAGAGGACAGATTAATTATTAAGTGAGGAAGGAAGAACTGTCAGTTTCAAACACTGAACTTATCATTCCCTTATAAAATCTATTCTGATGATGCTTCACCATAAAAGCTTAGAGCTGCACCACTGTTGGTTAGAGCCATGTTTTCAGTTCCTGCACCAAGTAGAATTTATTTCTGCTGGTCAACCATATTAAATCATTAAATCCTACACACTACTGCATAGTGGTGTGTACGATTTAAGGCCCCTTTACCTGCAAACTTAATTTAAAATGTTGGGAAAATCTTCCAGATCAGCATATTTCATCATTTCAATTATATTATAATCTATTTCAAATACAAATCACATTTTTTGTCTGTAAAAATGTGTGCATTTTAATTTCAGGGGATTGTCTGACACTTATTAATCAACTGAACCACAATAGTTGCCGACTGTAGGTTAATGCTAGCCATGTTTTCCCATTAATGCTTCTTTGCTTGAGGTCTGCAGAAGGCTACACTAATGGCAAACATTAATAAATGTAATTCCAGCCAATCGAATACAACATGGTGTAACATTTCCGATATCTTTAAAATGTTCTGTAATAAGAACAGTAGGCTAATGCTCAACCTCGCTCTCCAGTTAGCATGAATATCAGACGAAGAAATGTCAGTAGCCTATAACTCATGTTGCTCCTTTTACTGTAGATTGTACAGTTGTTGAACTTCACTTGAAATTTCTTGTGCATCTGAGAACACTCAAAATCCTCATATGTATCCTCTTCCTTTTTCAATGCTGTCCTAGTCATGTTCCCCCTCAGCTTTCACTTTCTGTTCACTATCTGACTCTTTTACATGTTTTGCATCTCTTTCCTACACCACGTTCACCTACTCTGCCAAGGCTTCCAAATAAAATCAACTGTTTTTGAAATATAACACAAAACCTTCATTTTTCACTGCTACACAAAAAGACTTTATTGTGATTGTGGTGGTTATCAACACAAGGGCCTATACTTTTGTTACATTGTGTTGTGCCCCATCTAGGACTGTCGTGCCG